CCAATCCCTCCACTGGCTTCCATCCCCCACCCCCCTCTGCCAATCCCTGCACTGGCTTCCAATAGCCCAAATGATAAAATTCTAAATATTAATGACCACTTACAGAGCCATCCACAACTCTGCCCCCGGCTATATCTCAAACCTTGTCTCAAAGTATCACCCTAACCGTCCTCTCCGCTCTTCCCTAGACCTCCTGCTTTCCAGCTCCCTCGTCAACTCCTCCCATGCTCGCCTCCAGGACTTCTCTAGAGTCTCTCCCATCCTCTGGAACTCTTTACCTCAACCTGTCCGTCTATCTTCTACTCTGACTGCCTTTAGGCGATCCCTTAAGACTCATCTCTTCAGGGAAGCCTATTCCACCTCAACCTAACCGCCCAACCATCATGTTCTCAGACAATTCATCCCCACACAGCTACCTCCTCATGTATCACTTGCCCCTCCCCTTTAGATTGTAAGCCCTCAGGGGCAGGGCCCTCCTTACCATCTTGTCTTGAATTGTATTGTAACAGTAAAGTCTTCCTTTATATTGTAAAGCGCTGCGCAAACTGCGCTATATAAATCCTGTATAATAATGGGACTTGTAGTTCTACAGCGGCTGGAGGGGTGGAGTTCCCCACCCCTGGTAGCCTTGTATTGTACTGGAAGGCCTGCTGTAAATTCCCCTCCTATCTTCTCCCGGCTGTGAATTATGTACATACATGAGGGTCGGTATATCGGCATTTAGCACGTGTGGCTCTCCAGGTTTCCATAGAACTACAACTCCCAGCATGCTGTGTTGAAGGTGACTGGGTGGTGCGGTGTAATGGAAGGAGTACATGCTCTGGATTGATGGTGTTTTCTGTCTTCTCGTCCTTTAGTGGAAAATTGACGACAAGCCGGTAAAAATCGACAAATGGGACGGATCTGCAGTCAAAAACTCCTTGGATGACGCGGCCAAAAAGGTAATCCGGATCTATCGGGAAAACCCTTCCAGAGGTTTAACAAATGGCCGTCGTCTCCCCGGGGCGGCCCGAGGACAGGGAGATGGAGGAAAGACTCCTCTGTATAGGGGGGGCTTCTTTACTGAAACAGCGGATGAAGTTTGTGAACCCAAAATCAGTTTTTCAGTGTTTGGTATCATGTCCCCCTATAACCAATGGGGGGGGGGGGGGTTTATCAAAATTGGAGCAGACAGAATCTGGGGCAGTTGCCCGGGGCAACCAATCAGCATCTCTTCAGTTTGCTCAGGTAAGATTTGAATGAGACGGAGAAGCCGATTGGTTGCAGTGCAAATCTGCTCCAGAAATTGTCTGCTCCGGTTTTGATAAATTTCCCCCGGTGTTCTTAGGCCAGCTGATTATTTGAATGTTACAAATTATTTTACCCTACCATTAACAGCACTTCCTGTTGCAGGCTGACAACACTAAGCCACTGCCATGCAATTAGCAGCAACGTTGTCAGCCCGCCATGTGCACGCCTTCAGTTAACCACTAGGCTGCTTATCTGGTAGTCGGGAAGCATGCTGCATTGGATCAGCTAACTGTGGGATTTACCCACCTCCCGTCAATGGCCGTTCCTGAGCGGCCGGACGGCAGCCTTTTAGCAGCAGGAGGGCGTCTTAAGATGTCCTGCCCCTCCCCTGGCTCGTGCGCAATGCCCAGCGCGCACACGAGTGGGGAAACTGTTAGAAATGTAAACAGGCAGCGATGGTTGTTTACATTCAAGTGATCGGGCGTCCATGAGTGAGTGAGAGCAATCATTTTAGGGCCATCAATCACTGATGACATGAAACTGATGAGCGCAATTTTGGGTGTGGTAGTAGTTTTTTTTCGATTTGTGGGGCGCGTGCAATTGTAAGGCTTGGGGGGGCTGGATCAAGTCTCCAATGCAGCACCCCAATTATTATTATTCTATACAAGATGGTAAGAAGGGCCCTGCCCCTGAGGGCTTACAGTCTAAGACCCCGTTCCCACTGCGCGATATGCAAATTGCGCAACATCGTGAGATTTGCCGCGCGATGTCAAGCTTTCATTGAGCAAGCTTGAATCGCGGCTAAATCCGCTCAAAAAAGGGTCCTGCTGTAGTGACACACGACCCGCGACAGCAGGACCCTTTGCCCCATTGGATTGCATTGGAGCGCGATATCGCGCGGTAATTTGCCGCGATATCGCGCGGTAATTTGCCGCGATATCGCGGGAATTACCGCGCGATAAATCGCTCAATGTGAACGGGGTCTAAAAGGGAGGGGCCAGTGATACATAAGGAGGTAGGGGTGTGGGGATGAGTTTGAGAACGTGATGGTTCAGTGGTTAGGTTGAGGTGGGATAGACTAGTCATTATTAAAAAAAAACCTCACCTGGGTGACATCAGACATGTTGAGAGTTCTGGGTGACACGTGCGAATAAGCGAGCACAATGTCATGCTAGGCCTTTGGAGACGAGGAGCGTTATTCACAATGTTCCGTTTTTTGGTTTTCAGGTCCTGCTGGAGAAATACAGATACTATGAAAACTTCTCCCTCATCGATGGCCGCCTCATCATCTGCACCATCTCTTGCCTCTTCGCCATTGTGGCCTTGGTGTGGGATTACTTGCACCCATTCCCAGAATCGAAACCTGTTCTGGCCTTTTGCGTCATATCATATCCTTTCACTAACGCACACTAGTGCAGCCCTCTCGCTGCCGGTGACACTGAACCGTACAGTTTGTACCACTCTCTGGAGGTGTAAAATGATTTTCTGTAAGCCCAAGGATTCCCTAGTCCTGGGGATGTGCTGTGGAGCAGGCATCAATTTCGAGCTAAGCCCCGCCCCTGCAGAGCTTCAGTAGCCATTAGAGGATTTTACTATGAAGGGGTAAAAGTTGGGAGTGGGGCTTGGCATGAGATGGAGGCCCTCTGTATTGTGTGCACGAGCTTCAGACATCACTAAGTGCAATTCTGCCAATGGGGAGTGTCATAGGATTAACACCTTAAGGACCCATGATGGGATTATTCCGCCATGGGTCCTTTAGGGGTTTTTAACTGCCTCCAAGCTGGGAGCTTCCTGGATGTAACAGGCCGTGTATATATGGCCTGTTAGCCCCGCCCACTCGTGTGGGGCGTGCAAGCGGGAAAGACACAACATTTAAAAACAGGCAGCAATGCCTATTAACATACAAGCGATCCGACGGCTATAGAGACGGCGGATCACTTGTATAAGGTCACGGTATGTGCACTCCCTCCGCGCCTCCCCCCCTCCCGCTGTCATGCTGGTCCCGGGCTCCGCTATGCCCGGTGCGAGCCCGGGACCAGCATAGTGCCTCTCTGACAGGGAGGCACTATGTCAGTATATCCCGGATCGTATAAGGGTATCAGAATGCGGTAGTGCTATATATTACATCACTTCCGCATTCTCGTGTCACTCTCCAGCTTCAGACACTGGAGAGAAGCTGATGAAGCAGATCTCTGCTTCATCAGCTTCTTCAGGGGGGTCCTAGGTGACATTAGGGGTCTTCGAGACCCCTGATGCCTCCATAAAGAGGACCTGTCACATCTTTTTGCTATCACAGAGGGGGGTTTCTTAGCCCCCTCTGTGATAGCAATAAAGTTAAGTGAAAAAAAAAAATTAAGTTTCCAAAACAAAATGTAAAGTTACACATAAAGAATTAAAACAAAAAAATGTTTTAAAGTCCCCACCCATACATAGACGCATGCAAACATGCGTCAGGTGCGCATACCTGCAAAAACGACGATTGCGCCCATTACGCCGCACATGTTACATATCGCCGCAAACGTCGAAATGAGATCAATAATTTTAGGGCCATCAATCACTGATAACACTAAACTGGTGAGCGGTAAAATCTTTTAAAGCGTCGGCTATGGTCAATTTTGGGTATGGTAGTTTTTTGCGATTTCGCGGGTGTGCGCAATTTTTAAGCTTGACATGTTTGGTGTCTATTTACCCGACGTCACCCCGACTTTTATATATTACCAAAAAATTGGGTAATAATCATTGTTTCCTAACATAATGTAAAACAAAACTTTTTTTTTTCCCCCAAATTTTCAGTAATTTTTCCTAAATATAGTAAAAAATAAAACCCGCAGTGATGATTAAATACCACCAAAAGAAAGCTCTATCTGTCCCCAAAAAATGGTATAAAATTAATTTCAGTACAGCGTTGCATGACGGAATAAATGTCAGTCAAAGTACCGCAGCGCTGAATACTGAAAAATGAGCCTGGCCAGGAAGGGGGTGTAACACCGCGGGCTTCAAGTGGTTAAACAGACTTGCCGTGGGACTCTGTTTAGATTTGTAGAGCCGGCTGTCGGCTTTGCAACAGAAGCAATTCTGGTGGCTCAACTGCCACCAGATCGCTTCCACGGGCCGGCTAAGTGCCCGCCCGATACCCCTGTTGTGTTTTTCAGGCTCCGCTGCCCCTACTGCGGGCCCAGGACGGACGTGAGGTTCCCGGCCAGAAGCTGGGGAGGAGAGCAGTGTACTTCCGGTCACCGACCTCCCTCCTCTAAGGGAGCGGGAGTAATGCAGATTACCGTACATCACTTCCGGTCCCATAGCTGTCAGTGCTCGGCCCCTGAAGCCCAGCAATAAACTATTGATGTGCGATCTGCAGTTCAATAGCTTAAAGTGTAAAGGTGACACTAGGGGTCTTTTGGACCCCCAATGTCATCTTAAAGAGGACCTGTCACCACCACTTTTAAGTCCCCCTATGTGATAGCAAGTTAAAAAAAGCAGTTTTAAACAAATATTAAAATAATTAAAACATTTTTTTTTTTTGAAAGTCCCCCGCCCTTGCGGGCACACACATCTACACATCCGACACTTGTCAGGTGCGCATACGTATGGAAACGACGATCGCGCTACACATGTCTGGTATCACCACGCAAGCCAGACTGAGAGCAATCATTCTAGGGCCAGTATTTACACGTATCTCTAAACTGATGACCTGTGGGGGGCTTTCAATGCGTCGTCTATGGACTTTTTGGGGTACTGATTTTTGTCGGTTTCACAGACGCACACAATTTTTAACCCGGGCATGTTGGGTATCTATTTACTCGTTTGGGGCACTAAATTTAACTTAAAGGAGAACTATGGGGTTCGGGCTTTTCCCCATAATTCTCCTTAGGGTAACGGGAGGACAGAAACTAGCGTCCTCCCGTCACCCTAAGCTCAGTATACCGCAAGCTGTAGAGAACTATGAGGTGATTGCTCTTCGCTCACCTCATAGTTCTAGCTGACCTGTGACAATGAGACTGTCACAGGTCGGCTCAGTAGATCGGGAGGTGAGGGAACACATACCGCCGTTCGCTCAACTCTCGATCCTGTCACAGCCCTCTGCCGTGACGGGAGGGGCTGGATTCCCCCTCCCCGCTCCGATCCTCCAGCGCTGACTGGCGGAACGGACGGGGGAGGGGGCGGGTACAGCTGGCTCTGCCTCTAGATAGGCAGAGCCAGCTGTCACTCACGCAGCTGGGCGGATCTCGACATTGATGTCGGGATCCGCTCCGGCTGCGGCGTCTCAGTATATAGGGAGCTGTAGCTCGCGGTATACTGAGCTTAGGGTGACGGGAGGGCGCTAGTTTGTGTCCTCCCTTTACCCTAAGGAGAACTATGGGAAAAAGCCCTGACCCCATAGTTCTCCTTTTTAAGTGCATTTTTCACAAAATTTTGGGGTTTGATAAGTTTTGCTAGTATTGTGCAACATAAAAATTTGCAACTGCTGCCATTTTATTCTATAGGGTTTTGGCTTTCAGAAAATATATCATGTTTGGAGGTTTGAAGTAATTTTCAGGCCTAAAATGTGGATTATAACGTTTGCAAAAAAAAAAAGGCCTTGGTGGCGAAAGGGTCCTTAAGGGGTTAAAGTATATCTAAACCTAAGAGCAGTAACGCAGCCCATTAATGTGCTGTCGGCATTATTTATTATTGTTTTTTAGGTTCATGTTCCTTTATTTTTACACACTTCCTCTCCTGGGGTGACAATTCTCATTCATTGTAGTGTATCTGTGGAGGAGTAGCTAGGACAGGACTTCAGGAATCCTCCCCTTCTCATCTTTTGTAACATACGAGGAGCTGTTCTGTTGTCCACACACATAACTGGTAACAATGTTACTGGAGTGCAGCACAGGAAGTTATCGGCGGATAAGATTTCTGGCAGGATCATAAGGTTTGGTTTTTTAACTGTAGGGATTATTTTTTGCCATGTCCTGCTGGAGAGGTTTCCCTTCAACAGGAAGTGCAAGGGAATATCCCCAAAATTATGATTCCCATTTCAAACAGTTGTCATGGTTGTGATTTGTCTCCATTGGAAGAATCCCCCCTCCTCCCCTCACCTCTTACTGCAGTGGCAGCTCTAAAATTTTGAGTTTCTGCTTGCTTTCTGTTAGGGATGCACCGATGCTAGTATCAGTGCCGATGCCGAGTATTTGGGCGAGTACTCGTCCAAATGCTCTGATACCTGAGCTTCTAGTATCAGGAAGCCGGGTCAGCGAGTCAGTACACGATGCCCGGCTTCCTCATTGGCCGTGACGCTGGCTCCATACTCCCTCGTCACTTGTGACAAGGGAGCATGGAGCCGGCTTCCCAGCCAATCGAGAAGCTGGGCAGTGTATAGTAACTCGCCGCCTAGCTGATTGGTCGGGAAACTGGCCAATCAGGAAGCCGAATGGCGCGTCATTAAATGCCTCCTGGCTTTTTGATTGGCCGGGAAGCCTGCTTCATGCTCCCTCATCACCTTGTGGGAGGGAGCATGGAGTCAGCTTCCCGGCCAATCAGGAAGCCAGGCGCCATGTAATGACACATTGCCCGGCTTCCTGATTGGCCAGAAAGCTGGCTCCATGCTTCGAACATGGAGACGGCTTCCATGCTAATCAGAAAGCCGGGTGGTGAGTCATTACACGCCGCCTGGCTTCCTTAATGGGACTTCTGGTATGAACGAGTAGCGAAAAATAAACATATCGGTACTCTATACCAAAAAAACGCTGTCGGTGCATCCCTACTTTCTGTCTTGGTTACAGTGGTCACCGGGACAAATAAAAGGCTGACTCTCCAACTGGGACAGAGGCAGCCAAAATACTTGACAGGGGTTCTAACCCTTCCAAACAATGTTTTGCTTAACTCGCGTTCACCTATTTCCTGATGATGGGGGTCCTCACCGTTTATACCTCATACAAAGAGAAGAGCATATTCCTGGTGGCCCACAGAAAGGATCGCACTGGTATGGACCCCGACGACATCTGGCACCTCTCATCCAGTCTCAAACGGTAATGAGTCACATTTTATACGGCGGTTGTGTGTCATGAAAGTGCAGGAGGTCAAAATGGCAGCTTCTTCATTAATGCTGGACAGGTGGCAGGAGCCAGGTCCCCGGTGATCCTAAAACATTACATTTTTAGCAAATCTTTCGTTAAAATTGCATTCCTTACAGCAGGGGTCTCAAAGTCGGTACTGGTGTCGGTACTGTGTGGCCCGTAGCCAGCTGACAAGTCGGGCACACAGTCACGGACCGCGTGCCCGACTTGCGGGAGCAGCTACATGGTCTGCATCTCTTGTCGTATGCAGACCGCAGAGCTGCTCCCGTTGGCTCCGGCCGGAGCTCTGTCAGTTCTGTGCTCCGGCCGAATGATGGATGATTAGTAAGGTCTGCACTAGACCTTACTAATCACCACTAGATACCCAGGGAACGATGATGTGCCTCCTTCCTGCAAAGATGCAAGCAGGTGAGGGGGCTTGGAAGGAAAGGAGGGAGGGGGGAAAGTTTATTATGTGTGCTGGGGGCTTTGGAGGGGAGAGTTTAATATGTGATATTTCAGGTGTGATTAGGGATTCCTGGGTCATGAACTTGCGTTTTCCTGCAGCAGGAATCCCTAATCTGGCGTTTACATGCAGCAACTGTCACCCATTCAAGTTAATGATCAGATGACAGCCGCTGCATGTACACACCTGCATACCGCATGTAATTGTATGTGATATGATTACATGCAGTTACAAAAACAATCACTATCCCTGGATAAACAATTGTGTATTCAGGGATAGTGATTGCTTACTAACTGCATGTAATCCTTTCCCATATGATTACATGCGGTGTGCAGGCGTTTACATGCAGCAGCTGTCACCCGATCATTAATTTGAATGGGTGACAGTTGCCGCTTGTAACATGTGCATTCATTAAAACTGGTACCGTATATAGTAGCGGCCCCCACGGGACTAAAAAATGTGTCCCGTGGCCCCCGACTAAATTGAGTTTGAGACCCCTGCCTTACAGCATTTGACCGGTGTAGTCAGTAAAAGTCACCAGAAGTCGTCCAAATATGCGTTTCACATGTTTTGCAGTAAGAACAGCGTCGCAGAAGGCTGAGAAGCCTTGCAGGGGCCTTTCCTTATGGATCCTGTGTCATCGCACGCTCTGGTCTCACAGTACTCCAGGACTGAGCAGCACTCGCATAAGCAACGCTCAGTCCTGGAAGACTGCCAGTCCTCCCGTAGCCAGAAGCGGAGGTACTGCTGGCATCATCGGTCTTGGTAGAAGAATGCAGCATACAGCTGGACATGCAGCATGCAAGTCTGTGCAAAAACCTGCACCGAGGAGGTGGCTACACACTGACCTGAACTTGCACGTCCGTACAGGTACATACCGGGGGACACAGTCATGATAGCAATGAAGGTCACCAGCACTCTCAGGATGGAGGAAATCTAAAAGTTCTTTTTATTGTAGAACGGCATCACATGTGTGACACAGCCAACGTTTTGGAACTGGGTGGGGTCCCTTCATCAGGGCAAACATGGGATCCCATGCGGTTTCGAAACGTTGGCTGTGTTTTTACATGCGATGCTGTTCTACAATAAAAAGTACTTTTGGATTTCCTCCATCCTGTCAGTGCTGGTGACCTTCATTACTATCATCTCTGGATTTGCATGGCGCCATCCGTGGCCATCACTGCTGTTTCCAGCACCGGTCCTGATTGCTGTACAGTGTGCCGGGGGCATCTCTGTATACCGGGACACAGTCAGTCTGCCTCCAAGGGCGCGAATCTTTACCTGTATGGACGTGCAAGTTCGGGTCGGTGTGTGGCTATGTGCTCCTGCATCCTGTCATAGAGATGTACAGTTGGCCCCACACAGCACCTGTCCCTCCCGAGGCCTAAAGTTGCACTCCACGTATGCATTGGCCCAATGTAATTATGCATATGCCATACATGATTGACCCCTAGGGATCCTGTATAGCACTGTAGCTGGCCCTAGCTTCCCCGCTGCTCTAAAGACACGGGAGGTCACTCGCTCGGCACAGCGGCCATTCACAAAACACGTGGGGGGGAATTGATCAAAATCTGGACCAGCTTTACACTGCAACCAATCAGCTTCTCTGTCTCATTTTCCAAATCTCACCTGAGCAAACTGAAGAGAGATGCTGAGTGGTTGCCATGGACAACTGCTCCAGATTCTGTTTGCAGAGGGGAAGCCGCTCAGCATGCAGTACGGGACCGGGAAGATGGCAGCCAGTACTGTTGTGGCTCCAACTTCTGCAGTGTTTACAGGATCCCCAGTAGCCCATCAGGTACGGCATATGCATTCTTGCCTTGGGCCAGGCTGGGTCACTGTATGCATGCAAAAATAATGCGTACCTGGAGCTCAGCTTTGAAGGAGTTAATGGATTGTATGCACGGAGTTCACATTTCAGCCTCGTCTGGCCCTTTCCTCTTTTCATCCTCCCCGTGTATTTTTCCCTCTCCCTCTCTCAGGTTCGATGACAAGTACACGCTGAAGATCACCTTCATCAGCGCGAGGAGCAAGCAGCAGCGGGACGCAGAGTTCACCAAGTCGATAGCCAAATTCTTCGACGAGAACGGCACGTTGGTCATGGACTTGTTTGAACCCGAGGTCTCCAAACTCCATGACAGTTTGGCTGCGGAGAAGAAAATGAAACAAAGGAAGAAGACCCGGGGAGGGGAGGGGGGGCGGGGCCTGGCTGTCTGTCTGTCGGTCGAGTTATGCTTTAGGCCCCATTCACACTGAGCGATTTATCGCGCGGTAATTCCCGCGATATCGCGGCTATTTACCACGCGATATCGCTCTCCAATGCATGGCAATGGGGCTCTGTCCGTCGATGTCGCGGTTCGTGCGTCGCTACAGCAGGACCCTTTTTGGAGCGGATTTTGCCGCGATTCTAGCTTGCTCAAAATGCAAATCGCGCGACAAACGTGCGATTTGCGAATCGCTCAGTGTGAATGGGGCCTAAGAGGGACAACGCAAGAGTGATAATTGGGGGAAAAAAAGCAATGTTTACCCTTCCCCCCGGATCGGAGTTCTGTAAAGCCACACATTTCGCTAGCGAAGCTGCCCTAGACCGTGGCGTAGGCCCGATTGACAAGGTTCTGCTGTAAGTTCTCTTACGGCTGCGGCTTTCTCTATGTAAGTCCCGTAGATATCGCAGCCGCCGTAATACATTCATCGTAGCCGATCGCCAGAGCATTCTGGGATCTCCACATTCCGCAAGTAATTCCCTTTTGTAGATGAGACTAGAAAAGATCGGTTTAGTAAATAACGGGTCACGTTTATCCACGCGGCTCGTCACCCGGTGACGCCCCGAAAACCTACCAAACGCATTAAAAAAACCTTTTCAGCCGCCCCTTTTCTAGAGTACGTTTGAATGCGATTGGTTACCCCCAGGGCTACACGGAAAGTTTTTGTCTGAGCCACGTGGCTACAGAACCCCCGCAAACAAATATCCGAAACCGCTGTCAGAATAGCCAGGAGATGCCCCAGACTCCCTGAGCCCACCATGCACCACCCTACAAACACCACTCCCATCATCCTCTGCTGGCAACCCTCTTGGCATATCAGGGAATAGGGAGTTCTGCTTTTATTTTTTTTCTTGTTTCCATCCACTTGTCCAGGAGCTGCTGCTGGTTTCAGAATGGATTCTATAGGGACATATATAAATGTGAGTCCGTGTATAGCCAGGATTAGAGAAGCCGTCGTCGTTTTATTTCGGCCATGTTACAAAGTCCGTTCTCGCAGCCTGTTACAGACCAAGTGAATATTTTGTTATCAGTGACTATAATATCTTCAGCTTTGACTATGAAAGATTCATATCCCCCCCCACATCCTTCCTTAAAATCAGAGACCAGTCCCCCTGTGATAAAATCAGCTTTGGTATAACGTTATTGTTCCAGACAATAACAGGATCCGTCCAGATCCTCCTCAGAATGACGCGGTTCAACCAGAAAGGACTTAGTCTGTCTCTCCAGATGAAATGTGGAGGGTCTGGATGGACCTTCTGTGTTATTGTCCAGACCCTCCATGCTGTGGTCCTGGGCCTACCAATGACATTAGCAGTGGTAAAACTTTATTATTCCAGACAATAACCCAGTAGGTCCGTCCAGGCCCTCCTCAGAATGATGCGGTTCACCCAGAAAGGACTTAGTCTGTGTCTCCAGATAAAGTGTGTCTGTATGAGGAGGGTCTGGATGGACCTTATTTGTTGTTCTCCATATCCTCCATGCTGTGCTCCTGGTCCTGGGCTTACCGATGATATTAGCAGTAGTAATACTTTATTGTTCCACACAATAACACGGATAGTCCATCTAGACCCTCCTCATAATGATGCGTTTCACCTGGAAAGGACTTAGTCTGTCTCTCCGGATGAAAGGTGTCGGTATCAGGAGGGTCTGAACAAAACCATAGAAGGTCAGTCCAGACCCTCCTCATACGGACGTCAGCTAGAGACAGACTAAGCCCTTTCTAGGGGAAACCTTGTGAGGAGGGTCTAGATCCGTAGTTCTCAGCTGGTGGGTCGCAAACCATGTTCAATGGGTCGCCGCACGTCTTCCAATGTACTAGGTGAGAGTGTCATCTTGGGGTGGGCTGGGGGTATGGCTGCGAGTGAGCTTCATCCATACGTGCATTGCTTACAGCTCCCTCCCGTGTCCTGTAGAGGTGCCTGGACCGGAGTGATGTCACATTCTGGCTCCCGGCACCTCTACAGGGCCTGCAAGGGAGCTGTACAAGCAATGCACATATGGATGACGCTCCGTCACAGCACAGCAGCCCGCACCGGACCCTAGGTTGAGGTGTGACAAATGTGGGTTACACAGGTTGAGAACCACTGATCGAGATGGACCTTCTGTGGTTTTATCCAGACCCTCCTACTGACGCTTTGCATCTGGAGAGACCGACTAAGCCTTTTCTGGATGAAACGTGTCAGTGTGAGGAGGTCCATTTTTGTCCTGGAACAATAACGTTTTGTCAATGCTAATGTCGTTGGTGGGCCCAGAGCAAGGATAAGCTCCATTCAGCCTGCACCTCTGCCCACAGACCCGGCAGCCTGAATTAGTGAGCGGTGGCTTTTCCTGGTCTCCTTTCTTATTCTGCTGAATGGCCCGTACGTGTCAGGATCGAGCAACAAGGAATGTAGACAGGCCTCTCTATATGAGGATATTATGCACACTCAGAAGCTGGGAGACAATCGACAGGCTCTGACCCTTGACACCCAAGCTGATGAGGCAATGTGTGACAAAGCAAAAGTTAGGAAAAGCATCAGATGTGAATCTTTCATAAATAAGCCGGCGTGGTTATCTCTAGAATGTTGGATGAGCCCGGTCAGTCTTGGCCGATTCTCTTCAGCTTTAGCCGCACACGTAAACTTTCTGACAGGGCAGATTGGTTTTAATGTTAGGTTTGGCCAGGGTGGGGAAGATTTGGACCCTCTGTCAGGTTTTACTGCAATCCCAAGCTTTGTTAGAGAGACTTGTCCTCACTTCCTGTCCCAAGGGAAACAGTTTGACCCAGGGACGCACCAATACCGGTATTTTATTTCTTTCCTGTACTCACCGATACCGGAAGTCCCATTAAGGAAGCCAGGCGGCGTGTAATGACTCGCCACCCGGGAAGCCGTCTCTATGCTTCTCATCACTAGGTGACGAAAAAACATGGAGCCGGCTTTCTGGCCAAATAGGAAGCCGGACGCCGTGTAATGACTCACTGTCCGGCTTCCTGTTTACCGGAAGTATCGGGCTAGGCATAGGCGGAGCATTTAGGCAAGTACTGGTATCGGTGCATCCCTAGTTTGAGCAGACAGGAAGTAGAGGTAAATCTCCAACAGGCAGCGGCGTCCCGAGGCCGGGTGTCATCCAGTGCGGAGACCCGGGTGACACCCTGCCGTGACATTGCGCATGCGCGGTCATCTAATTGGTGCCTGCTGGCGGCCATCTTGGTGATGGATGCCGGCAGAGAGAGGAGGGGACGTTCACCCGGCGGGATGAGGTATGCCGCCGGGTCCCCTCCTCTCTCCTGACACTGTCGGGCTCTCAGCCTATGACCGAGTGCCTGACTTTTTAGAGAGGGTTACACCAAAATGACTCATTTTCAAAGTCATTTTGTTGTCGCACCCCCAATGGTGTCACCCGCACCCCCTTGTGACGCCAATGCCAACAGGGACGCCGAAATAAAATGTCATCCTTTTTAGTAGTAAGGGCTGGCAACCTGTGTCCATATTTTATTACTGCCTGTATCCCTGTTGCAGATTTTTTTTTTGTTCTTTACTTCCTGTCTTGCGAGATTGTTGTCAGCTGGACAGGAAATGAGGGGAAATTTCTCTAATGGAGCTTTCTCTCTAATGGAGACCTTTCCCGTCATGGAAGACAGCCCCTTTAACCATATTCTGGCAGCCTTGTCATATATGTGGCAGCACCGAGAAGGGTGGGGCCTTATACACATATACAGCAGCTTGGCATGGAGGTGGGCCTTAGGGCTGAGCTGCTGCATATATGCGCCGGTGGTATGCGGACGCGCTCAGTCGACACCCCAGAATTGCGAGTGAGTTGGCCATGATGGCTGACAGTCCACTACTGATGAGTGGGGAGCCAGTAGGCGGGGCTTCCGATTATGTAATCACTGTGCAGCCAGTTACAGTCAATGCATAATGAGAAGCCCCTCCTACTGGCATCCAGTGTTGCGGCCCACTTAAAGCAGAACCCATTATTAACCCTTGCAGTGGGGCTAACCCTCCACTGCAAGGGTTAACTGCTTGTTGTTTTTGTCTAGTTTAAAAAAAAAAAGTTATAGTCACCACAGCCGGCTGTGGCAGCGCTCTCTCTCCAGCCTGTCTCCTCCGTTGCAGCGTTGGTATGTCCCTCGGCCTTCTCACGTCCTATACACTGTGTATGGAAGGTGATGATGCAGGGACCTTAGAGGGGGAAGTGAGGGTCCGGTGTTAGCAAGCCAGCTCCGGGGATCGGGTGAGTATAACTTTTTTTTTACCTAGACAAAAGCGAGTCCAACAGTGAAGGTTAGTCAAAGTTGTGGCCGGAGTTCTGCTTTAAAGGGCCGGCCCCCCCGAGAGACCCGACCGGCTCATCGTTTCATCCACCTTGTGAATTTCGGGACAAAACTTTGTCTCTCAGAATTCTGTCCATTTTCTTTTTATTTATTCAGCGGGAATTACCTTGTTTTGTACGCTGTGGAAGGGGGACCATGTGACGCGGGGAGGACAGTCCGTCTGCTGTATCTGTGAAGCTTAGCTTTGTCTTCAGGCCGAATCCTCTTATTATTATTGATAATAAAAGAAAAGAGCATTTTTACCGGCGTCCCTCTCCTCATTCTGTCACTTCTAAAACTCTCTGCTGTGTAAATGTTTGTTTTTGCAGTTTCTGTACCCCCGCTGTGCCCATTAGGAGGGGCTCCCACCATCCCTGTGCTGAGTGCCCGGGTCTGTACACCCGCTGTGCCCATTATGAGGGGCTCCCACCATCCCTGTGCTGAGTGCCCGGGTCTGTACACCCGCTGTGCCCATTATGAGGGGCTCCCACCATCCCTGTGCTGAGTGCCCGGGTCTGTACACCCGCTGTGCCCATTATGAGGGGCTCCCACCATCCCTGTGCTGAGTGCCCGGGTCTGTACACCCGCTGTGCCCATTATGAGGGGCTCCCACCATCCCTGTGCTGAGTGCCCGGGTCTGTACACCCGCTGTGCCCATTATGAGGGGCTCCCACCATCCCTGTGCTGAGTGCCCGGGT